GTTGTGGTGGGCGCCTGTGGTCCCAGCTACTTGGGAGGCTGAGGCAGGAGACTCGCTTGAGCCCAGGAGTTGGAGGTTGCTGTGAGCAGTGAAGCCAGGGCACTCTACCCAGGGGGACAGCTTGAGGCTCTGTCTCAAAAAAAAAAAAAATAGAACTTTGGCTTATAAGTCATGCAGTTATTAATGTTAACATATATACTTGACATGCAACTATTACTCCCCCATTAAGTTAAAAAAAAACCTGTTAACAAAGATACACATATATATACATCCCATTTTCTGTTCAAAGAAAGGGGTCGACATATATTCTAAGAAAAATATGTGAAAAGATAGATGTCTATTGATAGTTGACTTTCGATAGTGGGATTATGAACTTTTCCCCTCTTCTATTTTTCTATGACAAATATGTATCACTTGTTCACTTTTTAAAGGTGAAAGTAAAGGTAGTATTAAGTAAAACATCTTGTAATGAGATGGCTAGAAAGACCTAGTTTTCATGACAGAGTTTTCATTACATAACTGTCATTTTACAAATAAAAGTGTTTTCTTTCCGGGGTTACTCTCAGTTGAACATCCACTAAGAAACTCTTATCTATAGATTTTTAGTGACTTACTAATTTTGATTAATTTTATTAACTAGTATAGGTCACTTGGACCCTCAGGTTGTTTTTCATTACAATTTGTCTAATATTCCATTAATAAGTTTACTGTGAGAATTTCAGCTACTGTGGTAAGCAGTAAACTGACTGTATGTGAAGCCCTGTGGAATGCGTGTTCTACGTAAACAAATATTTTTAATTATTAGTCACTAATCAACAGTAACGATGTTTACGAGTACTTAGGAGACTGACGACACTTGCTAGGTGAGGCACATCCCAAATAAGACTCAGAGAAGGAGCCTCCACGAAAGTAACGCAGTCTGGAAAGCAGCAGCCTGTGCCCTGCTGTGGGTAAGTAAGGCAGCAGCTGGCATGCTGCTGGGCTTCACGGCCAAGGGAGGCAGCGAAGACAGCAAAGCCTAATCAGGAAGAGAGCGTCTCCTCCTCCTGGAGGTGGTGCCTGAGCTGTCTTTGAGGGGAATGTGGTTGAGCAGGAAGGAATAACCTCACACCAAAGGTGGGAGAGGGCTGCATGTTGTGGTTTTGGAGGCGGCGTGGTTGTGAGCGTAGTGGCTAGGTAAACCCAGGGCCAGAACATTAAAAGCTAAACCAAGAATAGATAGCTGTCGTCTGAAGAAATAAGATTCCAATCCCAAGACCCTTTGGCTCTCGGTAGATGAGCCAGAATGATGTCCCCACAGCTGCGCTGACGCACCGAGATCTGTACCCGGCTTTTCCTCCTACCCCAGTGCAAACCTCTGTGGAGCAACTTGTGCTTTGCACTGTGTGTGTGAAGACGTTTAGCAGTTTTGAGTGTTTTTAAGTGTACAGTTCAGTGGCATTAATTACATAATATGCTGCCATCACCACCGTTTCAAAAACATTTTTTATTCATTCTGTGCCCATGAAGCAACAACTCCCATTTCTTCCCGCCCTTACCCCTGGTAAACTCTGAGCTGCTTCCTCGCTACACATTTGCCTGTTCTCCATACTGTCTGTCCTCTTGTCTCTGGCTGGTTACACTTTAGCTCATTGTTCTCAAAGTTCAACCAGGTTGTAGTGTGTGACAGAACTTCATTGTTTTTATGGCTGAATGAAATACTCGGTTCTATGGGTACACCACTAAAGTGACCTCTCGAAATGAAATGGCAAAAGCAGAATGTAGCCTTTTTTTTTTTTTTAATGGGCTATTTGGAAAATTAAAAGTTGCCAACCTATGTCATGTCCTCAGAATTTTTTTGAATCTTTACATATCAATCAAAGCCAAGTATGGGGACCTCGTTCCAGTCCGTGTTGCATCCTTTGCCATGTTTTGGTTTCTTTTGGCACCATTACAGATGGTTTGTAACAGGGATTCAGTTAGGCTCAAAGGAGGCTTACTGACAGCGGTCTTTCCTCCTTCCTATCTCTGAAAAACACAGAATTTTCCATCAAGGGAAATACCTTTTCATTATTTTTTTGTACTAGCCTCCCAAGGAAGTGAAAGCACGCTTACCAAGTGGTAAGACAGATGGGAGAGGAGGGTGTATTTTACAGACAAATCAACAGTGGAATGTGGGAATCAGTGAGAACAGGGGTCCAGTTAGGTGGGCTTAGTAGTGAGTAGTCAGACCTCAAAGTGTACTCTGCTCCACCGTGCTCCTGCCAGGAGTCTGAACCACAGTGCTTTTATTTATGGGGCCAGTGCTCTTATTAATAAAAGCAAGATCAAAATAGAGTTTGTAGCATTCCAACTCTGTAAAAGACAGGTGACATCTCAGATCTTTAGTCACTTAGGTCTACTTGGGAAATGACTCCTAGCTTTTCATATTTTTCATGATTTTCCTAAAGTGGGTCCTAAATCTCATCTCCCCACTGGTGAGAGTACTTGCAACCTTTCTGGAGCTTGGGCTGAATGAGGACTAGGATGCTTTATAAAAAGAGGGAAGAGGCTCGGTGCCTGTGGCCCAAGTGGCTAAGGCGCCAGCCACATACACCTAAGGTGGTGGGTTCGAATCCAGCCCAGACCCACCAAACAACAATAATGGCTGCAACCAAAAAA